AATCCCACTTAACACTAATGCATCTCCTATCACTGAGAAGGTCTGATTTCCTTAATATATAAAAAGCTTCCACAAAACAATAAGAATAATACCAGCAACTCAGTAGGGAAAAAACAAACCAAAGATATAAATATTATGATGAACAGATGTTTTAAAATGAAAAGAAAATCAGCCTCGCTCAGATAAAAGAAATGCAAATTTAAACTACGATAAAGCATTATTTTTCACTTGCAAAAATGGCGAAGGTAAAAAAAGCCAAGTAAATACACCATGTTAGTGATGTTGAGGGAAAACAGGTACCTTCGTACATCACTGTAGTAATGTGAATTGGTACAACCATCATGGCAAATGCTTAAGGAAGCCATTAAAAATTAATTTTTTGAAGAATATTGAAAAATGCTAAGAATATAATGTTAAGTTAAAAAAAAGACACAAAACATAAATATGATACCAGGAAAAAAAGTACTGGAAGAAAATACATCAAAATAATAACAGCTATTTCTAAATGGTAAAATAACACCACTGGTGATCATAACTTTGTTCTTTATATAGTCAGAATTTTCAAAATTTACAACAAGCCTGTATAATTTAGAAAATGTTCCAGAGAGGAGGTGATGAGAGACTACAAGTGGACCTGGCATTAAATTTCAGACTTTTAAAGTTCACATTATTAAGAGACAGTTAAGTGCCTGGCTTACATACATTCCTGGAGAAAACTGATACAGCTGATTTTCATCCTTTGAGATAGTTATATACTATAAATTTGCCATAATCACTGAATTAGCAATTACTAAACCATTGCTCTTAGGAGACATACAGGATTGGGTTCCTCCAAGCCTCTGGTCATGATTTTCTCAACCAACCAATGCATGACCTTGTATTATGTGTGTTTCTGTTTAAAGACATCTTATTTAATATATATTGGTGATTAATTAACATTGAACTCTCCACCAGCAGCACTACAACTCATACCTGAATAAAGTTTATCTAATACACATATTTTCTCCATAAAGCACATCACAGCCTGCTTGCACTTAGGAGCACTACACAGCACCGCTGTACTATGCTTGGGAGCCATTTTAAACAGTGAAATCACCAACAAAAAGCACAAAAATATGGAAAACGTGGCACTAAACAGACTTTGAAAAGGACACTTGCCTACATTATGAGAACCGAAACAAGAAAGCAGAGCATCTCCTTGTTCAACCTCAACTGAGAACGTGCACATTGAGCAACTCATCAATTACCATGAAAGCACCACAGTATTGATTTGGGGATTACAAATACATTTTGGCAAGTAGGTGAATTCGTGAATACAGAATCCACAAATAATTACAGCTACAGTTTTAAGGAAAATTCTTAATCAAAAAAAGAAACCCAAACACCAATATTCTACAGCTGAACTCCTTCACAGAGCTGTTTAAAGTTGAGCACCTTACAATCTATAAAACAGTCCCCCTAGAAGGCACTTTCCATAATGGAAGTGAAAGCAGTATGTTTCATCATTCATTTTATTTAATGTATTCATTGTCTTCAGCAAGAACCATCTCTTTTTATTATCCAGTTAAATGCAGGCAGTAGTTACTGAGTATCTTCACATGGTGTGGCATGATCTCAGTTGAAGCGATTTACAGTCCTCTTGGGTGTGTGTGGGGAGGTTGAGGCAATTCCCAACTCTAATGCAAGACAGAATATGATCACAGCCACCATAAAGGCATAGTGTGCATGAGACTGGTAAAAACTATAATGCTATGGGGACCAAATAAAGGAGAAAACACATCCTCTTAGGATCATCTGCAAAACTTGACAGAGAGAGTGATATTTCAAAAGACCTTGAAGGATTAGTAAGACTGTAACTGGAACTATGGGATGGAGTGGACAAGAAGCAGCTTGAGCAAGAGCACAGAAAGGAGATGTGTTCCGGGAACAAGGTCAGGATCCAGCGCGAGTGTAGGCTAGGGGAAAGGAATGGCTTCCATTATTGCTGTAATGCAAGGCACAGCACCTTCAACGTGTTAGCAGAGAAGAGAATTGGAAGGTGAATGGCTAACTGAGGAAGGGAGAAGGGTCCAGCTATCCTGGATCCTGCTTCCAGAAGCTTCTTGGCTCATTCTACCTTTACACTGCAGTGGTGCACTCCTTCCCCGTCCATCTTTCACCTCCTTAACCAGACTGTACATGGAGGTGAGCAGGGATCATGCCCCACTCTTCATTATTCTCCCTCCCTCTGCCTTCTACCCACACTTCCCAACACACAGCACACACCCCAGCATACAAAAGATCACCCTACACCAACGCCTGCATGTCACTAGCCTTCGGTAAATATTTACTCATTCACTTACTGGCTTTGCAAACACACTAAGCCTTGAACAAGCCCTGGTCTGTTTCCTGAGAATACAAGCTGTTCTCACCAAGCAGATGGCTAAACTCTGTAACTAGGAAGTAACTATCCCTGAGCTTTCCCAGAATATATGTATGTATGGAGAATGGGAATCGTCGACAGTGCCACAATATTATTAATTTGTTACACATCTTTATTTCTGTATCTAACTAAAACTGAAAATTAGTGTTCAGCAGAATTTATAAATTTTATAATTAAACTTGTAAATGTATATTATGTCCTTAAAATCCTAACTTTTAGGATATTATATTTTGGTCCCTTGATTCCATAATTCTTTAGAAGTTAATATAAATACTCATATAGTTCTTGGATTGTATTTGGGGTTTATAATACTATATAATTGACTGGGTAAACATTTCTGAGGATTCTTGTATAGAAACAGATTTTCTATATAAAATTATTTTAATCACATCTTAAATAGCTTCTTCTATCTCCAATAAATTATTTTAATTATAAAAGTATTTTAAGAAGCCAATTGTTGCTCTTTATTAACTGCTCAAATAGGAATGTCTCCAATTCAAAGAATATTAAAAACAGTAAGTATTTAAATTTGAGTATAGGTATTGCAATTCTATAGTCTATAGTCTATAGCAACTTATAATTTAATTTTAGCCTTTTATTCACTGCTTTTAAAATTGAATTTTCTACTAGAAGTGAGAACAACTTTTAAAACACATACTTCTATAGTCAAATTATTGTACTTACTGTTTCAAAACCTCGATGTGGGTGATCAGGAAATCCGCCTGGTCTGCCTCCTTTAAATTCATCAAACAGTAAAAACGGATCCAGATTTTTTAACTGAAATAAAAATAAAATTCAGCAGATTAGATGTGCCTTTTAAGCCATGCTAACAGGGGCAACATTCTTGAACAAATCTAGCAAACCTCATCAAAGACTACATAGCCTCATGAGCAACTTTTTGCAATGAAAACTGCTTTCAAGAACTCCTTATACACATACACAGGGATTCCCTAATCATGTCAGAGAGTTGACATTTTATGAGAAGCACGAAGAGTTGACAAATATCTTATAATCACCTAAGATATAAATAGTCAAGTACAAACAAGATACAGTCTGTATTCTAAATAGATTCATAATCTTATGGAGGAACAGACTAGAAAATCAATGTGACAATAAATGCTCTGCAGGAAGACAACTTTACACACGAGAGTAGGGTGGGATCAGAGAAGGTTCTATCAGGAAAATGGCACTTAAGCTGGGTCTTGGAGTACCTGTAGGAGTTAATCGAGTAGAAGGGAGAGGAGAAGGAAGGATATTCCAGGTAGAAGAGCAGAGAAACAGCTTAGCATGCTTAAAGAACTGCAAGGAAACTACTCTATTGGGGCAAAAAATGCACATGGAATTGTGATGAGAGATGGGCAGAGGATACAGGCCAAATCTTAAAGGAGTTTGTATTTTATCCTGAAGGTGATGGGTTTTAATCAGGGGTTGATATGATCTAATTAAGAAAGCTCATTCTGTGGAAGATGGTTTGGGAAAGGAAGAAAGGAGACAGAGTATTTAGGTCATTTCAATTTTCTGAACAAGGGCAAAGGCCAGAGCTAAGGCAATGGCAGTGGCAGTGGAGAGAGGTTGTGTGACTGGGTAGATATTTAGGAGGCAAAAGGCAAGAGCATTAGATGATTCCCAAATGTCTAGCCATGGTGTCTGGGAAGATGGTAGGGCCACTCAGCAGCTCAAAGGAACAGAAGCAGCTGCCCTGAAATAACCACGGTGACTTCATTTTAAGTCACGTTGAGTTTGAGATATTTATATAAATGTTTTGTGTATAAATAAAACAATCTTCAGTGTACATTATATTGTGCAAAGGCTAGCAGGCAACTGAAGATAAGTCTCAAGCTCAAATGAGAATTAGGAACAGATGTGGCTGTCACCAGCATATCTCTATGATTGTTTTGCTTATTCTTGGCCATTTGTTTTTCTATATAAATTTTAGGAAATTTATCAAATTCTATCAATAAAA